GAGTGGCCCATGGTGGTGGTGGGGTTATGGTATGGGCAGGCGTATGTTATGGACGACGAACACAGGCCACTCGATTCACAACATTACCCAACCCTAACCCTAACCTTCACACCAGATACTGACTGGTTTTCGGACCCCCCCAGACCCCCCCAATAAAGCAAAAATGCACGTTTCAGAGTGCCTTTTATTGTGGCCAGCCTAAGGCACACCTGTGCAATAATCATGCTGTCTAATCAGCATCTTGATATGCCACACCTGTGAGGTGGGATGGATTATCTCGGCAAAGGAGAAGTGCTCACTATCACAGATTTTTTCAGATTTGTGAACAATATTTGGGATAAATGGTTATTTTGTGTGTATAGAAAATGTTTTAGATCTTTGAGTTCATCTCATAAAAAATGGGAGTGTTGCGTTTATATTTTTGTTCAGTGTAGTTATAAAGTAGATAATAAAAATACATCCCGCTTTTGATTGGACTGAAAAAGTTGTTGTTATTAATTAATCGCTGGTTATGGTTATTTAAAAGGATTTCTTAATTCATAAGAACACATAGAATATCAACAAGCCTTATTCTTTAAGTGAAGCTCATCTCATAGCTCTTTGTGCGTTATCGATGCAACATGACTTTTCAAGGCCAAACCTACCGGATCAATTGCAATAACTGTAACTTAATCTATTCTAGTGCAATCATTATATTCATACCAGACTGATAAGAACATCTTCTATGGGAAATAAATATTCTTATTCTCTTGGAAAACTACATGTATTTATTTCTCTTATACTATGTCTGTGTATGTGTTTATATAGGTTATATAAATATAGGTTTTAGTGCATGTAAATGGTCTTCGAAGGTTAAAATCCTTGTGTTTCTCTCCCACACACTCCCCCCTGTCTGAAACGCCTCCATTGGACTTCTTTGTTCCATAACATAAAGACATCACTATATGACACTGAACACATTGTACGTGATAGGCTAAGGGGCGGGACATCTCTAAGTGGTTGACCAATCACAACAGAGCCGACCAGCTAACCAATCAGAGCAGACTGGGCTCTGGTTTCAGACAGAGGGTGAAAAGAGGTGCTGCAGCACAGGCAGTATGAGACAAATAAAGAGACAAAATACAAATATGACTATGAAAATAACAATTATATGTCCTCTTTAAGCACACTTGTTTAAATATGTACTTATTACTTTATTATATATTTATTTAAGCACTTAATAAAGAATTGTAAGAATGTAAGAAAACATTGCAAACATAGGCTTCATACAGTAGAAGGTGCAACAGAATAATAATTGTTTTAGTTCTTTTTTTATTCAATCCTCTCAAAGCTCACCTTCTTTGGACTTTGTTGTGTTTTTGTAATGTCTCTAAAGCAGGACAAGAAGAAACACAGAGGCCCAAGCTCCAAAATCACCCCAAAGTCCCGAGAGTTCATCGAAACAGATTCCTCGTCCTCAGAATGCCACTCGGATTCGGATGAGGCGATCAAAGTCCCCGCTCTGCCTCCTCAGACTGCGCGCTCTGCCATCAGCACACACACTCTGTCCAGCGCGCACACACACACTCCTCTCCTCCCGTGCCTCACTTCTGCCGGCAGTATGGGACCCTCGGGGGGGAAGGGGCTCCAGGTCAAAGACAGTAGCAGCGTGATAGCTAACAGTAGCAGCAGTAACGGTAGCATCGGGGCTTGTGGGAACACCCTGAGCGTTAGCAACATTAGCGGCTCATTTGGCCCCTCTGTACCTGATCCTGGGGGGTCAGGGGTCCCATGCAAAGAGTCCATGTCTCCCCCGTCCAACATCGGAAACGAGGCGCCCCTGTCTCCGCTCAGGGAATACCAAGAAGTCCAGAGTTTATGGGTGAAAATTGACCTAAGCTTTCTCAGCAGGGTGCCTGGCCAGGGTCCGGGGGACAGAGCCAAAGTAGAGAGGGACGGAAGTGAGAGACAGGGGGAGAGGACAGAGAGACAGAAGCAGGCAGAGAGAGAGAGGCAGAAGCTGCCTAAAGCTGAGAAACAGGAAGAGGAGAATGAGCGATTAGCGCAGGACAGAGAGAGGCAGATGGACAGAGAGGACAGGGGGGAGAAGGTGTGCCAAGGTCTGGGGGTCCTGGATACCCCCCCTGTGCTGGAGCAGAGTAATCCCAGGCTGGCAGGCAGGACGGAGAGAGCAGAGAGCGGAGGCAAACACAGGGTGCCGGCAGCAGGAACCATGGTGGTCCCCGCAGAGAAACACACCAGCAAGAGCAAGAGGAAACATAAGGTGGGCTTCAGTTTAAACCCCTTCACATTCCCTCTTACTTTTACCCTTCACTTTCCAAATTGTGTCCTATTGTAGGTAGATAAGGTTTGTTTTCTTCCCTATCAGACAGAGCACAGCGAGGCATCAGTCAACGGCAATAAGAAGCTGCGGTTGGACAAAGACTGTCTGCTCCTCCCACCATGCATCTCTCCAATACACAACCACAAGAACAGCACCACAAAGTGAGTATGCATGCACTGTAAATACACACTAGCTACAGAATTAAATATACTCTGTATATTTACTTTATACAATTCATAATGCATAAAACATTTGTAAAGCTGGGGTTTGTTTTTTTGTTTGTAATTTGGGCCTTTTTTCAGTCCACACAGCTGAAAAACAACAGAAGTGAAAAAAAATGGCTGTGGGATTTACATTTGGGATACTGCAGGAAGGACATTTCTTTTAAATATTTGAAACCTACATTGTTAACAATCAATCATTATTGTCATCCTATCAGTATGTGCCTTCATTTCCTTTATACATGTAGGCACTTTCCGAAAGTTTGGGATGGTCAAATGTGAAACAATCGGCAGGACTTTATATTGCTTCACCCTAATCTGCCGCAGATATACGATTCAACAGGGTTCTGCTCTGAAACATAGCTACACATGCCTACTAGTGTGTTTTCTTAACCGTGAGTTCACACGACATCATTTTGTCCCAAATGTCCCTTTAACTGTTGTTGGAGATCTCGTACGAAAGAGAAATGCCACTTACCTCATTGCTAGCTGGAAATCTTCATCTTAATCGGAGCTAAATATTGCAGGTAGTTTAGTTTCAGTCCCCATTAATGAACTGTTACAAAAACAGTAAATCGGGCAACTTTAGCCAGCATGGCTAATTTCCAGCTGTTGTCCCTGGCCAGATGATAATAGACAACCTAAAGGCACAATACATCAGGTACATTTCTGGACCTACTGTATATGTGAGTCTCAGTCCTGCAGTGTGAAAGCTATTTTGTAATGACTGCAGAAGGGGGCAAAAGTGCAAGACTGCATGTGGGGCAAGAAGAGTATCAGGGGGAGGAGTTGTTACAACTGCCACAGATCATCAGTTTCAGTATACATTTGCAAACACACTAGATTTTCAGTTACTTGATGCAAAAACACACTGCTGCAGAAGAGTAGATCCCTGCTGCCCATTCATTCCGCATATCCTTCTTTTTCTTCTTTGGTTTTTTCTTCAAATGGGATGGATAACCAACTGCGATTGCTAACTTGCCCACATACATTTTTGGAGAAAATATCTATGGTGTGGGCTTGTGCTTTGTGATGTAGATTGGAGAGCAAAAGGACAAGACTGGTCAAATGTCTTCTTATGACAACACAAAACTACCAAAGAAACACATGGACTTAGTCCCCATTATTACACAAACAGTGTTGTTCTGTGATCAGATGAGACCTGATGACTTTGAGGGTCCTATAGTGTGTAGGTACCATTAGCACACAGGGAGGAAAGGTATGCATAATCACTTTGAATCAAAATATCAAATACCCTACCTTAAAATAAAAATGGCGGCTTTACATGAAAAACATCTGATGAAATAATAACTAGAAAAAAAAGCTCAACTTCCTCATTCTTCCCATAAACAACACATTCTAGTAGAGGCAATCGGACCAGTTTCCTGGGTATTTTCAGGAGGGCTAAACATTTCTAACGAGGTGATGTAAGACCCTGTAGGGGAACGTTCAATCCCCGCTGCGACACAGGAACTGAGTTCAGCTTTCCGTGTGAATTATTAAAAACAGACGTAAGCTTGATGTGGCTATAAATAAACATCAGTGTGACATCCACTGAGAATATGTTTTTATAGCATCTCCGTGCTATCAAAGAGTGAAGAGCAAGGAGAGGTGGGAGGAAAAGAGGAGGGGGGGGGGGCTGACCTGGACTTGAACGGTGACATGGTACGGCAGACGTCTGAGAGGCTTTTTATGGAAGCTGTAAAGTGGAGGATGTGATCATCCTGCTCAGACACATTCAGCAGCTCCTGATCTGACTCCTGGCAGTTAGCATCACTCTGTTTAATCAGACATCGGATCATTACAGGACACATATGCTGATGGATGACTTTTTGTCATGTGTTGAGCGCATGACATTTCAATTAGGACCATGCTGTAACACCAGTCTTTAATACAAATTAAAAAAAACAGCAGAATACAACTAAATCAATGTAACGCCAGGAAGAAAGATTATGAAAAACCCAATGATTTAAAACTTGAAAACCAAATCTATAACTAACTTTAAATAAAAAGCCACATTAAAGAGACGTAGGACACATGCAGTAAGTAAAATTTAAAGGAAAAAGAAAAGACGGGAGGAAAAAAAGTGCTTTTACGAATGAAGATCGGATCAAACACAATAAGCTACGATACCTTTTTAGCTGCTTTGTCCAAACTTTAAATATTTGGACATAAACAAAACAGCGACTTTATTTTTCGAGCCTTAGACAGTCTGTACACATACATACTGAAACGATTTTGCACCTGTACAAATGTAAGGTCTTTAAGGCTCTGTTCTTTGCTGCAACAACATCAGCATGTCAGTGACAACAGGCGGGGATTCTAACCGCTGATTGGCTATCGAGAGACAACTTCACGCAATTTCCTCGCTTTTCCGCATGGAATGCTTCTTTGGTTGTTGTTCGACGAGCTGGAAAAGAAAGGTTCATGTTTGTGAGATAAGAAGGAGACTTAAGGAAAATAAAGCTAATTTACTGTAGGTTGAAAATCTGTAGCTTTCGCGTTGTGTAGCATGAATACTGTGACAAAGTCCTCAGTTGAAATGTATTTCTACAAATAAAACATACATTAAAAAATTGGACACGTGGCTAACGAAGCACTGATGTGTGCTGTAGCAGACAAAGAAAACAACAGTTTGATTGAAGTTGGACACAAATCTTGAACTGCTGAGTCATTGTAAATATATTGCAGAGGCATATTTGGCAGATCTACTGTGATGATTTGGTGCTACGAGGCTGTACCTTTTCTTAACTTAGTATCTCTTTCTCTCACACACACACACACACACACACACACACACACACACACACACACACACACACACACCGGCATCCACTTAAGGATAGACACACAAACGCACACAAATTAGCATAGTCATGCACACAAACAGCTTGCGCACATCAATTATGCTGTACACAGACACAAAGAGTGCGCACACACATATAACTCACACACGGTTGGCTCCGCAGCAGCTAATTAGTCTTTGTCTCGGCGGTTTTGTATATTATCACTAATGTCGGGGCCCGGGGCTCTGTTCTGCAAGCTCAGCAACTTTTTCTCGCTGCATCAAACCCCCAGAGTTTCCAGGCAGAGGAAAAACATAAAAATATTATCTGTTGTGTTGCAAACAGTATGAGTCACAAGAGCAACGATACGGCAGCACGGGGAATTAATGGTCGATACTCCAGCTGGGGAGGCAGAAGAACAACAATCTGAGAAGGAAAATATCTCTCAGCATCTGCCAGATAGATACACACTGTTAAAGTCTCCTATGCAATTTGCACATATTAATAAAAAGGTAATATGCATATATTAGGAGGGAAGTTTGCACCTTTCCCTGCAAATGAGCATCATCGCAAAGATCAGTACGTTGTGTCTTCGAAATGACTTTTGTTTTATGTTAATGACAGAGAAAGTAAAATCACCCCGATGTATGTGCATATCCCCACATCCTGTGCCATCAGTCTGACACTACACTGTTATGCTAAGTTCATATGTTTACCCAATCCAAAGTATTAAAAAGCAGAAAAAAGGCTGCCCAAAAAACTTCAAGCATAGTGTAACGCTTGAGCGGAAGAAGCATTGGTAGAGGAAATGCAAAGATAAACTCTCCTCAGGTGTTTTTTTGTGTGAAAAGAGGAATTGGTGTGTATGTTCTGTAAAGATCTGCAATATAAGGGATAATTTTGTCACAACATTTAAAAAAAAAAACACTTAAGTGCTGTCATTTTTCTGAAACTGACAGAGGGTCAAATGTGATTGCAGCAAAATCCCCCGAGCAGATGTTCTTACATTAATATTGAGGCTTCAGCAGGTGTGTTAATAGCTGAGGAGGCAGGAAACAGCCTGACATCCTAAAGTGTCTTTAAGGCCTTTAGCATCATTAGACTCCCTTTTTACAAGAACATGTGTGTTTGTTATTATTGCCAAACATGGTTGTGGTAATTGGACATTTCTAAAGTTCGCCAATGTTTTATAAAGTCATGATTGATTATTTCTCAGGTACAGTTTAAGATGATTTCCACTTGTGCACAAGAGTATGTGTGATCATTTGTTTTGATATGTGGAGAAGTTCAAACAAGCCAAACTCTTGATTTGAAAATGTCCACAGGACCTGAAAAGCAGCCATTACAGTAATAGCAGCCAATGGGACTTTCAGTATGGTCTCACACCTCATCCTCACATGCTACTTTTACAGTAAGGTGTCAAATTGAGTAATCACACATTAGCTATAAGCACGAGTAGGCCAACTAATTAGAGCACATCTCCTAAAGAAAGAAATCTTTATAATAAATACAATAATAGTCACACCTTTTGTTCCCTCTTTGTGTTCAGCAGCTCATTAAACAGGAAGCAGTCTCGGCGGCGCGACGACAAGCTGCTCCCCCCCCTCCTGTCCCCGCTCTCTGACGGCCCCCCTCGGAAACGAACGTGTGACAGCAGTTCCTCTCTCAGCCAGGAGGGCGCTGCCACGCTGCCCTGCTCCTCCTCTTCCTCCTCCTCTTCCTCACACAGACACAGGAGAGGGGAAGAAAAGGCGTCATCAAATGCGAGGAACGGCAGCGTAAGTACTCCGAAATATTTAAGTATATGTAAATAAGTACATAAAAGTAATTGTTCTCATGAAAATAATATGCCACGTTTTTAAGATGTATACAAAGTTAAGCTATCAGTGGTTGGATGTAACTAAGTACATTCATTATTGTAATTTTCAGGTACTTGTAATTGAGTATTCCCATTATCTGCCACTTTATACTCCACTAAAATTTTGTGCTTTGTATCCCGCTACATGTATTTGATATTTGAATTGATTAGTTATATTTTACATAAATAACATCATGTGTGTATATGATAAATAAGTATAAACTACTTCTAATCTACTCGGTAGTACACAAAGTATCTACATTTGCTTTACTTTGACCAAAATATATCATTGAAAAACTCTTATATGTACTGTATTTGTAATTGATAAAAAATACAATATAATGTTCTATAATTATAAGACACTTTTAAAAGAGCTGCCCAATGAGGACTACTTAAACCTAAAGTACACTTTGCAGATAATTCTTCTGTACTTCTACTTAACAAACATATGGAACCCAGGACTTTTACTTTTAATGGAGTATTTTTAAACTGCGGTATAACTTCTTTGACCCAAGTAAATGATCTCAGCACTTTCCCACCGCTGCACACTGTCACCATGTTAGGAGAATAGTACTGTACTGTCATTATCTCCGTGCAAAATGGAGTTTCTCACCTGACACTGACACGGCTCCAGAAATAACCGTGGAGTTAATGACATGCCAGGATGTACTGCATGACACACATCTCCACTGAAGTGTCTCATATGTCCTCACCTCAGGAGTTTCAGAGCCAAAGTCACTCAAATATGTCCTCATATCCGTATTTGGTTCAGCGGTGGAAGAAGAATGTTGTATGTGAACTGAAAATGCTATATAGTATAGTATACAGTACAACTGAAAGTCAATGCATTCCACATTTTACCAGTAAGAAGTAATTAAAAGAACAAAAGTATCAGTATCACAAATATATTTAGGGTAACAAAACTCAAAGTAAATGCAGAACAGCCCTTCATATATTATATTTATAGGTCATAACTGTTAATGCATTGTTGTGTTGACCTTGGCATTTTTTCAGTTAACATAATTCTTTATCAGAAATCTATATAAAGTTATACAAAAAAAGAACAAAAAATACTCTAATATGTAGTGGAGTAAAAATATATTATACTTATAGTTATAAATGGTAGCAGGTAACGCTTTAAAAGAATAAACAGATGCATAAGATTCAACAAAAAAGATTTCCACGTAAACTACCTAAATAATGTTCATAGAAAGATGTTCTTAACATTTTTAAGATGCATTTTGCATGGTTTTCAAGTGTAAATATAAATTCACTTTCTAAATCGTTTCTCTACATTCTTTCAACCCCTCTTTATTAGAATGCCAGCAATACAATTAGTTAACTAAATGAATCCACCACTGAGAATCAGAAGCCAACATACTAAAGGTTCAAGTTTCTCTAATACCATAATAACCAATCTTTATCCTTTCTTGACTGCAGGAAGTTGATACCCGCAATGAGAAGTCCAGTGGAGACAGTTACCATGCCAACGGACCGTCAGACTCGGAGGTGTGGTCGGAAGCTTGCCGACCCAGACTGTCATTCAGCGACACGTACGTAGAAACACACTAACACTTTATATACACTAATACACATTAGGATGGTGGATATGAACTGCAATGTATTCTTAGTTTTTTTTATTTTGTATAATTACACATTTCTCATGTTTTACTCATCATTGTTCATTAGACATTTGAGTGTATGATGCTTGTAAAAGTAATCTCTGGATTTCCTGTGTTATTAGTGAGCAGGTGTTTCCCCTTTTCAATGGGCGTGTGTTTACTTAATTCCATTGCACATATAAATGTTATGCTGCGTTCACACCGGACGTGATGCGAATATTCCTTCTGTGGAAGTCCTACAAACGTAGCAACAGACGCCGTCGTGTCTGGGTTCTTATTCTCCTCCAAGCCAGCTCCTTTTTGTTGCAGTCCCGGTAGATATACGACATTGTATCGTAAATCTCCGGGAACCCACTCACAGCCACAGCGATCATCTCTTCCATCTGTACAACTGATCAACAGCAGGACGTCAGAGGGACGTCAGAGGGAATCCCAACGCTGATTGGCTTTCGCGAGAACGCGTCACGTGAATTTGACGCTCGAGTTGAAAACATTGAACTCTGGCGTTTGACGCGGCCCCCTTCAATCGCATGATTCGCGCCGCGTCCACCGCTTCATGCGCGCTGTCGGAGCGAATTCGCGTCTGTCCGCGTCTCTTCATTGACTTTACATGTAATCGCGCCGCCCCCAAAAATCGCATCGCGTCCGCTGTGAACGCAGCATTAGACCTCGTTTGGTGTCAGAATATTTGTTTTATTTAAGTTGAGATAACTTATTACTTCTAATCAAGACTGAGAAGATATTTCTCAGAGTATTTTATATTCAACAAAAGTGTAATAACTGTAAACTTCTGAACAAAATCAAAAGAGAAATATGCAGTTTTGCAAAGTAATACATAATCATCCTTATGTGCTCGATAGGCCCTATTATACTGTTGGGGTTTTTCCTTTTCCTGTAGTGTGCTATATAGCTTTCTGTGCATGTAAATGGTCTGCACAGGCTAAAATCCTAGAATCCAACCAATCAGAGCAGACTGGGCTCTGGTTTCAGACAGAGGGTGAAAAGAGGTGCTGCAGCACAGGTAGTATGAGAAAAATAGAGAGCTTTGTGAACATTAAAGCATGGAAACAGTTCACAGAGACACAAAATATGTAAACCTGAAAATAAGCATGATAGGGCCTCTTTAACAGGTCAACCTTTTCCACATCTAAAATATGCAAATGTGTGATGTCATCTGGCAGCTTTTAGCA